CGGCCCTGCACGTCCCTACGTCCACAGTTCCCGCCAGCCCCCTTCCCTGCCGGCTTCGGGGTCGGGTTGGTGCCAGCCGCCTTCTCGTCCCGGGGCAGGGGGTGGAAGAAGGTGTAGATGAGGTCGCACTGCAGGGCGAGGAGGTGACGTTAGCGGTGACAGTGGTGACCACGTCCCCCCGCTGTTTGGGACCGATGCTTTACACGGTGCGCTGGCCCCCGAGCACCTTCCCACCTCGCCAGCATCCCCAGCACCATCCCCACCTCTGGGGAGGCAGAAGACCCCTCCTCTGCCCCGCCGGGACCCCCCCCAGCCCCACACCTCTGCCATCAGCTCCTCCTTCCGCCGCTCGGCCACCGCTTCGCCCCGCGACCGCCCGATGACGAACCTGCTGGGGAAGCTGCGGGGACGGAGACTCAGCAACGCCCGGCGGGTGGCGGGGAACCCCTGGGGGGCCATGGGGGTCTGCGGGGGTACCTGGGCAGCAGCGAGGAGGGGAAGAGGAGGCGCAGCTTGTTGTGCAGCTCCTGGAACTCCTCGAAGGTGCGTTGCACGAAGGTCACCTCGCCCGGGCTCTCCCGCTGCACCTTCACCACGTAGGTCTGCAGAGAGTGGGGGCTGTGACACAGGATGGGGAACCCAGGTGCCCCAAGCCCACATGGGGCCGGGGAGGAGCATCGGGACAGAACCACACGAGCTGTCCCTTCGCCTATCCCCAACTGTTCCCACTCACGTAGCCCTTGCTGGGGTTGAAGACCCTCTCATGGCGGCAGAGGAAGACGTCACGGATCCGGCCGGACGTCTTGATGGTGTGCATGCGGGGAGCGAAGGAGAGGGTCGGGCGGGCGTCAGAGCCCGTGAACTTCATCTGCGCCAGGTTGTGGATGAAGAAGTTGAGCTTGGTGGCCACACTGCCCAGGCTGGACTCGATCAACCTGCAACGAGGCCACCACGTGTTCAGCACAGAGGAACCCATCAGCGTGTCGAGCTGTGCCCAGGTCTTCCTCCATGGGCTTCCTCCATCCCCTCCTGCCCCATCACCCACCCATGTCCTCTACCTGGTGAAGTAGGTGGTGGCATCAGCATCAGAGTCCTGCGGCCTCAAGGCATCATAGACATACTTGAGGTCCTCCAAGTCGGAGAGCTCAGGGATGCCGCAGGACAGCATCTAGGGGGCAAGGCAGGGGGTGAGGGCAGGCGGGGGGAGGAGGACCCCTCTGCCATGCCCTGGAGGGGACAGGTCCGTGCCCCCCCAGCTCTCACCAGCCCCAACAGGTTGAGGAAGAGGTGGGTGTGCTTGCGGATCAGGTTGTAGGCCTGGCAGCACAGGTCGACGAAGTCGTGGAAGCGGCTGCAGAGCTTGTCCCCCCCGTTGATGACGTACGCCATGTCTGAAGTGAAGACGAACGGCGCCCGGTCCCTGCACCGGGGAAGCAGGGACAGAAAGTGAGCACGGCTTGGGGTCACCCACCACCGGGACCACAACATGAGATTCCACTCTGTGAAATCAGGGTGGACCCTGATGCTGAAGAGCCGCAGCCCCGCAGGGACGAGCCCAGGCGAAGGGGAAGGGGATGCCGGAGGCGTTTCTCACCTCTTGATGTTGCCGAACATCTGCGCGTGGCCCAGGAACCTGCCGAAGTCGATGTGAAACATGTGGCCGGTGGTCTTGAGCATGATGTTGTCATTGTGCCGGTCGCAGATCCCCAGCACGTAGGTGGCCACGCAGCAGCCAGCACAGGAGTAGATGAAGTTCTCCACGGCCTGCGAGGAGGGAGGGAGGGATGGAGCCACCAGGCAAGGAGAAAGGCTGGACGTGTTGGGAAGTGACAGGTCTTGTCCCTGGAGAGGGTGGCATGAGGAGCAGGGACCCTGCCAGGCTCCTCCTCACCTTCTCGTACTCATCCTCCTCGGGATTGTGCTTCTGCAGCCAGTCTGCCAGCGGCCGGTCTTTGAAGGAGCCTGTCACACCGTGCTCCACCTGGATTTTCCGTAGGGTCTCGGCATTGGGGATCATCTCCACCATACCTGGCAGCGTGGACAACAGGGTAAGACCCATCCATCCCACCCGGAGGCCACCAAGACCCCAGCCCCTTTGCCACCAACCCAGCCATCACCACTGCGTGACAGCCTGCAAAGCCGCGTTCCTACAGACGGGCTGGTGGGAGCAGATCCAAAGGGATCACAACTACCCACAGCAGCTCCTCTCTAGCCAAGCTCCAGGAGCTCCTGTGCCATCACCAGCCCAAAAGCATCATGCCCGGGGGCCCGATGCCGCTGGGGACACCCCAATGCCGAGTTACCTCGCCCGCGGCCAGTGGAGAAGCAGCGGAAGATGACCATGCGCATGTCCAGCCCCTCCTGCACCCAGATCTTGTTCATGATCCGGATCATCTGCAGCGTCAGCATGTCCTGCCGCAGGTCATCGCCGCACTGCGAGCCGCAGGGGCAGAGCCGTCAGAGCTGGGGGGCAAAGCCGAGCCAGCCCCACGCAGGCTGGGGCAGCCGTGCCGGGGGGTTGGGCATCGCCGGGAGGGCGGGCCCCCCTT